GAAAGCACGACACATGACCCGCCAAACTCTGGCCCTAGGAGAAGCGCGCGACGGGCGAGCTGAACGGCGCTCCAATGCTGACCAGATTGACCGGCCCCATTCGAGTTAACAGCACACGCACTCCTGCAAGAGCGCCCGCAGTTGCAGAAGACCCCGATCCACGCCCACCCAAACTCGACAGCGGAAATGAGATGCCCGTCGACAGCGAGGGTTTCCTCGCGGTGGCCGGCGACGGCGCGGCATCCTCAGGCCAAATCAACGTTCGTCCACGACGGGCGGGCCAGAGGTCCAGCACGGGCCCGGGCGTTCACGCGCGAGGTCAGGTCAGCGCTGCGGCGGGCGGCGCGGGCACTTCCACGGCAGGTCTACATCGCGGACGACGCGCGCAAGGGCCCCACAGAAATCTGACAGAGAAGGACCGTCAAGGTCAAGTCGCACCAGGACCTTCGGCGACGCTTTCAAAGGGCAACAGAAGCGAAAGGATTGGAAAAAACGAAGGCCCGCGAAGCGAGCAGCCACCAAACCAAAGAGACGATTGCCCGCGACGCCATAGCGGACAAGCAAGCACGATTACACAATGAAGAAATTGGCAAGCGAGCAGTTCGAAGCGCAAAAACATGGTCGACCAGGAAAACCAGTAAATACAGGGCACGCACTAGGACCGCGCAAGTCTTTCAAGGAATGCTTATCGACGCGGTCCAACACCGAGCAGCTGAAGGGCCAAAACTATTGCGCCCCCCCCCCCAAAAAAAAAAAAAACGGGTGCTCAACTCGAAGAACGCTTACAACACCTGGAGGAACTCGCCGAAGTCGAACAGCATGCCTGGGCAGAGCAGGAGGAGCCCGACGCATTCGGATCCGGAGAAAGCATGGACGAGAAAGAGCCCGATGCGCTTGGCCATGGAAGAAGTGGACGAGAAGCCTGAAGTAACCAAACCACTTGGCCCTCATCCAGTACCTCGGAGACGCCTCCAGGGAAAACAAGCAGCACAGGAACGGCGAGCTAGCGGAGCAAGCAGCAGCAGAGGGGCCTCGGCCTCTCCAGCCCGAAATGATGGCGGAGGTGGCACTTCAGCGAGCAGCGCAAGCAAGCCCGTTCAAACACCTCCCCCCGGGGCTAGTAGGCACGAAGGAAGGAAATCTGGAAATACAGGCGGTCAGGGCGGTCGAAACTTCACGCGGGCCGAAGGGCGCGCAGGTCGAGATCGGAGCCACAACGCGGGGTCTTTCCCAATCTCTGGTGGGAAGCACGCTCAGCGAGGTTGGCTGCGTCTGACGACCTTTCTTACTCTAGAATATGGTAGGAGAGACCCAGCCTTTTTCGCCATGCTCGACACTATCGCCGCTCGGTTCCAGATCCCAGCCTCGACGCTAAGGAGACGCGGCGCGCTTGGCCCGCCAAGATAGAGGCGAAATCAGAGGATAACAGATCGCGAGGAGAAGGCACTCCTGCAGCTGCCACCATCGCCACTCTGCTGGATGCAGGTTGGAAACCACGTGGCCCCTGCGCCTGGGAGAGTGCCCTGGGGGGGCGGCGCGCGATCTCAGAGACCAGGCCCAGGCGTGGCAAGGTTGGCCTCGCTGATGCGACTGAAGCCCTGGCCCAGAGTAAGGAACACCAAGTGTGGGCGGCGGCGGCCGCCAACTCGCGGAGCGGGTCTGACCTAGAGGTAGTTCCAGATCTCGTTGGATTTCAAGCACCAGTAGAAGTGGCTGGCCAAGGAAGGGGAATCTGAATGGCGCGGAGCTTTGCGGGCTGTGGCCACAGGCAATAGTTGGCCGCGCGCCAGGCTTCAGGAGCGCGGACTGATTCAGGACAGCGCCGGCAAACGTTGCGGTGAGCTTGTGGAGCGCGACGCGCACAGGGCCTGGGGCTGTCCTGAGAACAGTAGATTATCCCAAGCTTCGGGTTTCGCCCGCAGGAGAGCCCTAGCGGATTGGGACATTCACCCAAGCTTCCGGCCGCGTGGGCCGACGCCGCGCAGCTGGACCGCCGCACCCCCGCCGCTGGAGAGCGAAGAGCCCAATGCCTTCGGGGGGGTCTCCGCGGGGCGGCGGCTGAGGTCACTGTGTTTGGAGGGGGCGATGCCAGCGGGGGACCTGGCTCCCAGAACCCAGCTCCCCGTCGCGCCGCCTGGCCATGGGTTGCGTTTAGAGACCGTCGAGAAGGAGGTCAGTGCAATCCTAGAGAGCCCACGGCACGCGCTGTTGAGTTCGGGGATGTGCCCGGCTGAAGACAGTCGGTCAACGGGGGAAGGGAAGCTCTCAGCTTCTTCCAGTTCCTCACATGTGTCGCCCCTGTTGTCCATGGCTTTTGCGTGACAGACCCATCGCATGTTGCGAAGAGTTTCAGTGAGATCTGCAGCGGGATCTATCCCACATCACACCTCGATGCGCGGCAGAATGTCAAGAAACGCTTGGCCGAGCACCCCGCGAGGGGTGCTGTGTTGGCAAAAAGTGGAGAGTCATAGGTCAGTGGGCGATGTGAGCGGCTAGGGAGCCGACCCATATTTCCCTTTTGAACGAGATGGCAGATAGGACTGCTGAACAGCAGGGCTCGAACTTCCGCGCGCCAGAGCAGCACAATGACAGCAGGTCCCACGCACAGGCGATTGTTTGCCAAGTCCGTCAGCACCTGGGCCACTCTCTTCTTGCGTTGATCGAGGCCGATGGTAACAGGGCGCCGAGGGAGGCCACTCTCCGCCCCAAGAGGCGCCAGATTAAGGACCAGCTCTTGCTCACAGCCCACCAGCCCGCCATTGGCATTTGCTCCCAGGTCAGATGCCACACGCGCGGGGGACGTGCGCCGCACAGGATGGCCGACAAATTTTTAGCAACCCCGTGGCACCAGGGCTTGTTTAAGGGGTTGGTGATGGTGCCCACCAAGAGCCCCTTGAATGGCGAAGACTTGAGCAGCTCCCACACACTGGCAGATCACAGGGAACTCGGGAGCTCAGTCTATTTTGCGCGTGGCTGCGCGGCCACACAGGCCGTTCGTAGCGTGGCCGAAGTTTTGCAAGTATTGGATATACGGCAATAAGCAATTGACGAAGTCACAGCAAGCCCTGCCCCCTGGCCCGTCAGGCTTGCCAGAAGTCAACTGACCAAAAAGAAGGCCATGCGTTAAACTGACCAACGTTGCTCCTAGGCAGGGCCGAGCAACAACAAAAACAAAACAATCAAAAACGCCCAGCAAGGAAAAGCACACCACAGATAGACGAAAGAAGGTTGTTGGATATAAAGTTCACACTGGTCGACTGGACCTAGAAACGCGGCAACACTAAGGCAATATGTTGGCGCTGGTCAAGCACGCATGTGGATGCGAAGCCACCCTCGGCGCCAGAGGCCTTCGAAGCTTCATCGATGCACGCGATGGTTTCCGTTATTGGTGTCGTTGCTACCATGTTCGCCAATGGGAAGCATGAGATGGAGATCGAGCAGTGGCGTTGGCAGCATCGGGACGCAGGCCAAGATGTTCATAGCGGCGACGAACAACAAACATGTTTAGGCGTTCCGGGGTGACGGCGACGGAGAAAACGACCTACGGAGACTACGGAGGCAAGACAAAAAGGCCAGGCGGCGTAACCGCCCTTGAAGGAATACGGACGGCTGCCTCACTGGGGCTCACAGCCTCAAAGGGATTATAAGGACGAGTACGGATGTTGATGACAGAAGCTACCAACCAGCGCTTGTTCAACATTGCTGTGAAAGCTATCAAGCTCGAGAATTCCCAGCCGTGCTCAGTTCAGCACTTCCCAACGCATGGGGTGATACCAGCATGGAATCGCAACATTCATTGTTTCTCTCGGCAACAGCTACAAGCTTAGCAAGCGGTGGCGGTCCGAGGACACAAGAAAGATTGAGTGTTGGTACCACTTGAGACGAAGCGGAACCAGCTCGACCACAGCACATTGAGAATGAATCGCGTTGGTGCCATTTTTGCGGAGGACCGCGAGCTGTTGGATAGATTGTTATGTTTTTAATCGTCGGGGGGAAGAAAGATACTTCGGAATGTCCAGGCACGAAACGACGAGCTCCAGCATCTGTTTTTAGCTGGTTTCCAGATATGACCACATATTTCCCCATTTGTACGGGATGCCGGCTGGGCATCAACCTGAAGGACTACAACACGCAGCGTGGTCAACAGGGCGTCACGCGGGAGAACGCTCGGCGGCTATGCCGAGGGAAGTCGAACTCAGTTGTGCTTGCTAATATACAGGCGTGGCAAGCCTTGTCAATAAGACGGTGCACGGCATGGTCGGGGAAGCTCGAGGAACGCAAGGTCGAGGTGGGCCAGAAGAAGGATCGTCTTGTCTTTGTGGTGAGAGCGAATGTGGTGACAGTTTCTGTTTGTAGAAAAATTGGTGGTGAGTTCCACGCCAAAGACCAGGGCATCAAAACGATATTCAGCGTCTTGCCTAGCGAATGCACTGGGCAACAAGAGGTGCGCCCGCCCAAAATACCTTACCCGTGCTGTTCATGACGACCTCCCTGCTGCTCCACATCGTTTAGCACGGTGAGGAGGTTGTCAACTCGATGCTTCACTCCAGGGTTCGGGTACAGCATCATCACGAGCACCCACAAACACACACACACACACACACACATCGGGACGAAAGAAATCGCATTCCGAATCGCGCCACATGACCGATACATCGGCAATGCGACTCGACTTTTCGGCCCCATCAACTCTGGCCCCAATCTAGGAGGCCTCTGGCTGGGAGGATAAGGAGGGAGGGTTGTTCATGCCCATGTGGGCGACGTAAGAGAAAGGACCCAAATGCGTGGACATTGGCGCTTCAGTTTCCCGCGTAAGGTCGCGCGTAAGTGCCCTCTTGTCTGAGCGGTGTGCCACGCTGGCGGCACGCGTATGCCGCGGCGCAAGGTCGCGATGTCATCGTGCGTGAGACTCGCTTCCTTTCGCCGCTCCTCTGGCGAGGAGGGGCGAGCAGCCTGCAGGCGCCAGCGAGCAAGGGGAGCGAGCAGCAGCGCCCCTGCCCCAGGTGGTGCCGCCGCGTGGCCAGCAGCGCCCTCGGCATAGCCGGCCTCGCCGGCCTGGTTCCCCGCCTGTCGCGCCCGGGGTGGCTGCTGGTCGGCGGGGGGCGGCCTGCCGAGCGCGTCCGGCGCCGCCCGCGCCCCGCGTCAGTCGAGCGTTGCGCAACGGGGGGGGCGGTGGGCGGAGAGGTGAAGAGAGGTGCCACTTGTCGTGTGCACTTGAGGGGCCCTAAAGGAGCCACTTGTCGTGTGCACTTGAGGGGCCCTAAAGGAGCCACCTGGAGCCCGAGAGGGGCGCGAGAGGTGAGCGTGTCTTCGACACCACGCTGATCGCTCCCCACTAGGCAAGGCCCAAGTCAGTCGGCGCCACCGAGACGAGCTTCGGCAGGAAACCGGAAGGGAAGTGCAGTTTTTGCGCGGGATAGTGCGGGAAATTGGCAAGACAGCGCCGCCTTCCTGCATCGGCCAAATTTCCCGCCTGCTGAGTACCCATCAGGCTGGCTCTGAGTCAGGGCCCTAGACGGAGACCTTGCGAACCAGGATTTCGCAAGCCCTGAACTCCAGGTGCCGCCCCCCCCACACACAAAAAAACAGCGGCAAGTGTTCATGGTTCTCGACATCTGAACCGCTTCCCCGTCCCAGGGCCGTCAGAGAGCGGCTCAGCAGGAGGAAAAAGTTGCGGCTGGGCAAGAGGTCGGGATTCCCAGTGGCCACATCGCGCAACAGGTGCGTTGCCAGAGAAGGAGGAGCTCCAGCGAGAGGGTGCGAAGAATGAAGAATGCGTCGACCCACGGGTGCAGTTTGCTCGGATGCGCCAACGTCTTGCTTCATCAAAGTCCCCACGCACGGGGCCCCCCTCTTTCCAGCTTTCTAAGCTATGTTGTGTGTCCCTAGGGGCCCCCCTCCCGTGTCCGGAGGGGGCGTTGACACCTGCATCTGCATTTGCGTTTGAGGCCTTCTGGGCCTCGCCAGGGGTGCTCTCGAGGCCGTCTGGGCCTCCCCCGGAAATCCTGGGGACACCTTGAACGAACGAGCGAAGGAGACAGCCACCCGCCAAACGGCTGCAGACGAAAAGGCGGTCCCTGGGGCAGGAGGACGAGAGCCTCAGGGTGGGCATGTCGCGCACAAGTTGCGTCGTCGGAGAAATGAAGTTCCAGCAAGAGGGAGCGACTACCCACGGCTGCAGTCTTCTCGGAAGGTGTTGACACATGCATCTGCGTATGCATATGGTGCCGTCTGGGCCTCCCCAGACATATCGTGGGGGCACCTTGGGCCAGGGATGCTTCTGCGAACACCCGAGGATGCCAGGGGGGGAGGCGGGCACCGGGTGCACAGAAGGAGAAAGTTCGAACCCTCGCCTCGTGAAAGCATCTCGGCGGGAGGTGTTCGAATGTTCTCTGCTCCTGCGCGCCCTTGCCGGGCCCTGGGGGCTGTCAAGCTCGGGTCAAGAAACCAGCGCCGGGGAAGGCGTCGAGACCTCCAGGGGCACGCGCCGTGGTAAGATCACGACGCCTGGGGTCTATCAGGAGGGAAAGAACACACAGGTACACATAATCGTCGGCTCCCCGGCAAATATGGAAGACATGGGAAGTGGAGGGGAAGACGAACATCCCGAAAACATTCAAGATTTGATGAATATTGGGATTTGTATGTGTGTTTATTTGTGTGTGTCCCCGGGCCCCTTTAGTCTGGGAAGGCGGGGAAGGAGCGGCAAGGACAGGAAGGGGCGGGGTGCAGAGCAGGGGGAGGGCGAGGGGGCGGCGAGGAGGAGAAGCACCCGAACATCCTTCTCCTCACTGTCTGCTCCCCACCTCGCTCACAGCAAACCTCACCAGCCAGCGATTCCTGGAGCAGACGCTCCAGGAGCCGCCTGGCTTCTTCAGTTTGATCACAGCCCCCAGGGCCGACCCGCCCTTGGGGGGAAGGGGGAAGGGCGGCTTCTGCCAGACTCCTGCGCCATCAGCTACCCAGCTCCTCGCCCTCACACCCAGCGCTTCGATGTTCTCAGCGCCCGGCCCCCACCTCTCGACCCCTTCCCCAGGGCCGGCTTCTCGTCCCGAGTCGTTTTCTGATGGCCCCTAGGCCTGAAGCTGGCCTCCAGAGGACAAGCACGGTGACAAGCCAGCCGCCTCAAGTTTGCTCGAGGCGCCAGGTGCCCTGCCCAAGATCTGGCCTCCCACAGCCGCTCGGGGCGGCTCGGGTATCGTCGGAACGCTCTCGGCGAGGCGCAGCTGCTAGGAAGCACCTCGAACCTAGAACTTCGAACCTCGAAGGACTCGAAGGGGGCGGCGAGTAGGCCTGAGGGGTATCGAATGCCGAGGCCTCGCCGTTCCGTTGCCCCTCCCCCTCCCTTCCCCTCTCTCTCCATCCCCATCGCCCCGCCCCACCTCCCCTCGCCTTCCACAATAACACAATACGAATACTACTCTCCTCTCTCCCCTGATGACGTCGGGAAGATATCCGGCCCTCATCTGCGCATTTGTTTTGTACACAAGGATTCCCGGGAAATGGATTTTCTATTTTTCCAAATATTATTCCCGCTGAAGCGCTGGCCTCATTTTCGGGCTTCCGCTCGTTCCGAATCGCGCTCCCGCTGCAGCGCTGGCCTCATTTCCGCGCTTCCGCTCGTTCCTAATCGTGTTCTCGCTGCAGCGCTGGCCTCATTTCCGGAGATCTACGCCATGGTAAGGGATGGGAGGGAGGGGTAGGACGTCAGATAGGACGCGAGCGCACCTACCCCTCCCCCTCTCCCCTCATCCCCCTCTCCTCCCCTCCCCCTCTCCTTTGCCCTCTCCCCGCTGGCCGCAGGGCGCCCGTCACCCTGCGGCGCGCCGCGGCGCGCGGCGCCGTGCTAGACGGTGGGCTCGCCCAGATGACGGTCGCGCAGCTGAAGGAGGGAGGGTGGTTATCCTTCTCCTCCTCTTCCTCCTCCTCCTCCTCCTTCTCCTCCTCCTCCTCCTCATCCTCCTCCTTCTCTGCCTCCTCCCCCTCAGCCTCCTCTTCCTTCTCCTCCTCCTCCTCCTCCTCCTCCTCCTCCTCCTCCTCCTCCTCCTCCTCCTCCTCCTCCTCCTCCTCCTCCTCAGGGGGGTCCTTGAAGGGAACGGGCCATGCAGGTGTGTTTCGATCGTTTTGAAGGTTCCTGTAGCCCTCCGCGGGCATAGGGACCGTCCATAGCGAATCCCCAGATCTTGATTTCTTCGGCATCGCAGATGCAGCGCCGATCCAGCGCGATCCTTCGAGCCCATGTATGGCCCGACCTTATCTGGGCGGCCCCCAGACTCGGGAATGAAAATCTGGGATCGGGGAAGTGCCCCAGCTTCGCAGCGGAAAGAGCGGAGGCGTCCAAGAGGTGGGTGAGGACCAGGGAGGATGGCATGGCCAGGACCATGACTCCGATCTGATGGCCCCCTTTTGTTGTTATTGTAAGTATTAGTAGTTGTAGTAGTAGTAGTAGTAGTAGTAGTAGTAGTAGTAGTAGTAGTAGTAGTAGTAGTAGTAGTAGTAGTAGTAGTAGTAGTAGTAGTAGTAGTAGTAGTAGTAGTAGTAGTAGTAGTAGTAGTAGTAGTCGTAGTCGTAGTCGTAGTCGTAGTCGTAGTCGTAGTCGTAGTAGTAGTAGTAGTAGTAGTAGTAGTAGTAGTAGTAGTAGTAGTAGTAGTAGTAGTAGTAGTAGTAGTAGTAGTAGTAGTAGTAGTAGTTAGTAGTAGTAGTAGTAGTAGTAGTAGTAGTAGTAGTAGTAGTAGTAGTGGTAGTGGTAGTGTTAGTAGTAGTAGTAGTTGTGGTAGTAGTGTAGTGTAGTAGTAGTAGTAGTAGTCGTAGTAGTAGTAGTAGTAGTAGTAGTAGTAGTAGTAGTAGTAGTAGTAGTAGTAGTAGTAGTAGTAGTAGTAGTAGTAGTAGTAGTAGTAGTACCATTATCAGCCTTGTGATCCGTTACTTCTTGCTTGTAAGATTCATCGTATTCTACTTATACGTATTATGAGCAGTGTCCTATTCCTAGTCTCAACAGTGGTATTAGTAATAGTAGGATTGGTGTCAGCAGTAGTGTAATGTGTGGTATCATTACTCCTGCTGTTAAATATTAGTAGTAGTAGTAGTAGTAGTAGCAGTAGTAGTCGTAGTATTGATAGTAATAGTAGCAGTGGCAGCAGTAGTAATAGCTGTTGATGTTGCTGATGTTGTAGATGCAGTAGTCGTAGTCGTCGTAGTAGTAGTAGTAGTAGTAGTAGTAGTAGTAGTAGCAGCAGCAGCAGCAGCAGTAGTAGTAGTAGTAGTAGTAGTAGCAGTAGCAGTAGCGCTAGTAGTAGTAGTAGTAGTAGTAGCAGCAGCAGCAGCAGCAGTAGCAGTAGCAGTAGCAGTAGCAGTAGCAGTAGCAGTAGCAGTAGCAGTAGTAGCGCCAGCAGCAGCAGCATCCTCACCAGTATCGGTATTACTAGCTGTAGTGTTCTTAGTAGTGCCATTACCCGTACAGCTGGTTTACCTGATCATTCACACCAGTTGTCATGATTGAATTAATTCGTCGTACCATTGATACGATTATTTTAACACGCCCCCTGCCCCCCCCCGTCCGGGCACAGGCCTCGGGGCACCCTCTCCCTCATCCCCTTCTTCGGCGCAACCCGAAAGTCCAGACACTCAACGACGTGATTGCTGCAATGCGCGGCCACGAGGTCCCGACCACTTCCCAGGGGTTGGTTTGTCGTCCCGGCTCCATGTTTGATTGCCCTGTGGCCCGATATTGGGCCCCAGATCCCGAGATCGAGGAAGAACGCCCAGATCAAAATAACAGATCAACGGACATATGGGCCCCCCTTTGTCGGCGCACCCGAAAGGAGGGCAGGGGGAGGGGAGGAGGAGGGGGAGGAGGAGGTAGGACCAGTGTAAATCCAAGAGCCATCAACGATGATGGAATACACCCTCCCTCCAAGCTCCCTCTTCATAGGCCCCTACAAGGGTTCATTTCCATTGAGGGATCTGCCTCGTTGGAAGACAACCGTTTGAAGACCCGAAAGCATGCTAAAACATTGTTCTCGGGATTTCATCGCCACGGATCAATCTGACTGTTGCGTCTTGACGATCCTGGATCGTGCCAGAACGCCACTCTTGGGATTTCAACACCGCGAATCAACATAATTATTGCACCGTCAAAATCCTGAATCCTTCCAAAACGCCATTTCTGGTACGCTGATCGTGGGAACCCGTGAAACTCTTGCAAATTGTATGAACGAATGTGCGCGGCGCTAAGGCGAGAGCCGCATGTTGAAAACGACCCGCCCTCCATCTGTGAAACTGGTGCCAATGTTTAAGCTCACAGTCACACATGTTGAGGAAGTCTCAGGCGAAACGCCTGGCCCGCCCTAGAAACTGGCCTTGGGGCGCGACAGGGAGAAGATATTTATAAGGAAAAGGAATGCAGGGGGAGGAGGGGGAGGAGGGGGAGGAGAGAGAAAGAGGTAGGAGGAGGGGGAGGAGGGGCTAGGAGGAGGGGAGGGAGGGGGAGGAGGGGAAGCGCCCCTACATCTCTGGGCGCCGCAGGGAAGGTCGTGGCGGCCCCGTGCTCTCCCAGGCGTCGCGCGCGTGCCGTTCGGCACGTCGCGGCATCGCGGCACACGGCGTTGCGGCGCGGCACTACACGGCCGCACGACAGCCTTTTGCGTGGCACAACGTGCACGCGCCACGGACAGGGCACCACGGGCATGGCGCCATGGCACGCTCTGACACGTGCCGCCTCACGCTGCTTACTGGATGGAGATGGAAGAGCATCCAACGTGTGTTCTTGATGTCGGACCAGCTGTCCCCCTCCCACTTTCTCTTTCCTCTCCCTCTCTCTCTCTCTCTCTATACATAGATATATATATATATATATATATATGCCTCTCTCTCTCTCTTTCCTTCCCCTTTCAAAAATTGAGACCCCCGACGCCCCGATGCCACCATCTGTCGCCATGGGGTGTGAGTGTGGACGCGTGGGCTCGAAACGGGCCTCTGGAATCGGCCACCCCTAAGTACTTCAGGACGCCAGGGGCCTGGGTCCTTCTCTCTCTCTCTCTCCATATCTCTCTCTCCATCCCCCTCTTGGATAAATTGGTGTCGTGTCGGCGCGGCGGCGACCCCAGCGTGGGCGTTCAAGGCTTAACGCCGCCAGCGGCCCAGAATCGGCCGACTTCAAGCGGCATGCTCTGTCGCGAAGCCGCGATCGCTAAAGGTTGAAAGGTCCATGAGGTGTCAGAGACCGAGGCCGAAGCTGTCGCGACACGAGCATGCCGTACGCAGCTTCCTCGGCCTCGGTGTCTCGCAGGAGAAGCTCGAGAAGGCCGGCCTGCCCGTCTCTGGCACGAAGAAGGTGCTCATCAAGCGGCTCGAGGACCGAAGGGGCCGAGGCAGAGCAGCAGGAGGAGGAGCATCAGGAGGAGGCGAGCGTCGAGAGGAAGCAGAGGAGAGGGCACAGAGGGGGGGGGGGTGGGGGGCAAACGTCTGCTCGGGCGCATGCCTGCGTAGGAGGGAAGGGCCGCGCTCTGGGCGCCCTATAGCGAGCAACCGCGTGGTCGTCGACGCGTGGAGAGGGCGAGGAGGGTGCGGAGGGCGAGGAGGGCCAGCCGTGCTCTTCCCACCCCGCGGCTGCTCTGGGAGTGTGCGCGAGAGGCCGTCGCGCACGGAGGAGGAGTCGGCGCAGAAGCGGCAGCGTGCGGCTCTCGCATTCGCACTGGCATCGACACGATCGTCAGCGCCTGCATCGTTGTCATCTGCATCGGCGTCAGCAGTGGCAGTGCGACTAACGCTTGCACTACTGCACTGGGCCCACCACGCCGCATCAAAAGTCATACGAACGCTCTTGTTCACATGTTCATTCGCGGTCGCGCCCGTACTCCTAGCAGTAGGAGGGTGAGGGTTGGAGGAGGTGGAGGAGGAGGAGAAGGATGATGAGGAGGAGGAGGAGGAGGAGGAGGAGGAGGAAGAGGAAGAGGAGGAGGAGGAGGGCCAGAAACAGAGCCTCTTGTTGCTCTCGGTGCTGCTGCGGCGAGCTTCGACACGCACAGGTGCCAGGAGCGGCGGGCACTCAACTCGACGGCTGCCCTCAAGGCGCTACAGGTGTGGGCCATGGCTCTGGCAGAAGGCGGCGTGGCATCTCAGGGAGCCGGATGGCGCCTCAGCCTTGGGGAAACGGGTCCTGAGGGCAACGGGTCCTGCACCCTGAGGGCCTTCCTCTGGACGAGATCTTCATGCTGAGTCGCTTTCTGACAGTCCCGGGGCCCGTGAAGGGCCCCGGGGGCCCGAGGGCCCGAACACGGCGAAAAACTTCGGGACCCGCTTCCTTCCGGGCCCGTTTCCCCCGTGGCGGGCGCCCCTCGGCGGGGGCCTCGCCACGGGCCAGCCCCTGCGGGTGCTCGGCGCTGGACACGTCGGGCACTCGGGGCTGGGCGCCTGCCACGCCGGAGGGGGAGCGGGAGGAGGAGGAGCGGGAGCAGGAGAGAGGAGGCGGAGCAGCTCGACGACGAGGAGGAGGGTTCGGATGTTGCCAGAAGTGGCCCTGGCCCAAGGTCTCTCCTCCAGCTGCTCGCGCCAGCTGGGAGCCCCTGGGCCCTCTGGGCCTCATGAGGGGTGCTCCGGAGGCCATCGGGGACACCCAAGGCCAGGGACCGCTGTGGCAACAGCCGAAGGATGGCAGATCAGGCCAGCAGCCAAGGCCCATGCCGCCGACCTCGCACCGCGGGGGGGAGGAATCGGCAGCAGCCCGGCCCAGCCAAAGACTGGTACAGAGAGCCCTCCGCGGGTTGGTCTCCGCTTTGGACTGTCGGGTCCCTGGCAGCCGGGACGCGGCGGCTGTCGCCTGGCCTTCGCGAGGAAGTCGGGCGCGCTGCGGGCAGCAGCAGTGACGAGCCCGCGCAGACGCGGCGGCCGTCGGCGCCGACGCGGGCGAGCACAGCCCGCGCGGCAGCCCACGGGCGCGTCCGGGCGCTTGGCCGCCCCGCGGGCGCGGCGGCGCGCGGCGACGACGCGGGCGAGCGCAGCCCGCGCGGCAGCCCACGGCAACCCATCCGGGCGCTTGGCTGGCCGCCCCGCAGAAGCCTGGCCTTGGCGACGGCGCCAGGCACGCTGCGGGCGGCAGGCCCGCCGGGCATATGGGGCCCGAGCCGCGCCCAGCCTGTTGGCCCGAGCCTCTGTTCGGTGTGCGCGGCCCGGCCTGGGGTCTTCCTCTCTCGCGCAGGTGCGACCAGGGGACCTCCTCTCGCCGCCTCCTCCTATGTCCTCCGATCCCCTCCTATTTCCTCTACCTCCTCCTCCTCCTCCTCATATTATCCTCCTCCTCCCACTCCCACTTCTCCTCCTCCTTCTCCTTCTCCTCCTTCTCCTCCTCTCACGAAGTAGCGAGCCTCTCTCACGGGGCCACCTCGGAGTTCACCCCTTGAAGCTTCGAGGTATGCCCCCTACCAGCCTACCGGCCCTAGTGAGAAGTCAGGGCTGTTGCACAACCGAATCGCAGGGGATTTTGCAGACGCGCGCAAGGCACCAGTCTAGGTCTGTTGACGTTGACACCCGTATCTGGATGTCCTGTGTCCTGTCCTCCTCCTCCTCCTCCGCCTCCTCCTCCTCCTCCTCCTTGAGGCGCGCGGAGTCGTTGTGCGGGGGAGGGGGGGGGAGCGGCAGTGCCGAGCTTGCCCGGCGGGCCCGCCAGGCAGGGTCCCTGAGCCGAGGCAAGCTTGTCTGCCTGAGCCTCTGGTCGGTGAGCTCTGGGAGTGCGAGCCGCTGATCGAAGAAGAAGAGGAATAATAATAAGAATGAGAATAACAACAATAATAAGAAGAATAAGAATAAGAAGAGGAAGAAGAAGAAGAAGAAGAACAAGGGCCGGCGTAAACACAGATCTTCGGAGCTCCGCGCGGATCTCTCGGATCTGAGTTGAGTCCCCCTGGCAGCGCCCCTCTGGCGCCGCCACTGGCGAGCCCGATCCAAGAACGGTGCGCGGACCTCTGGAAGTTTATGGTCATGTAGCTTTTGTTTCCTATACGTGGGTCGGATGTCTTCGTGTCGGCCTGGCTCGGTCATTTCGGCACGATGAGACCACATGCGCAAGCTTGCTAGTTTGCTCCATGATTTTCGTTAGGGTGGCTGGCGAAACTTAAGGACAAGGAAGATTGGGCTGAGGAAGAAGAGGGAGGAGGAGCAGCTGCAGTAGGAGAAGGAGCAGGATGAGGAGCAGGAGGAGGAGGAAGCAAAATTGTGAGAAGCACGGCGGAAGAAGGAGAATGGAGGAGTAGTGAGGAGGGGTAGAGAAGATGAGGGGGTGAGGAGGCATGGGGAGGAGGAAGAGCTCGAAGAAGAGGAGGAGAGGAGAAGAAGGAGTAGGACGAGGAGAAGAAGAGGACGAATGCAAGGGCGAGAAGGTGGAGAAGGAGAGGGCAGTGCTCGGGAGAGGTCTGGGGTCGACTTTGAGGGAGCTATGGCTGGGAAGCGTTGTTTCAGCTTTTCCCCTGTTTGGGCCGCGCGCGCACGCGACAGAGTAGGAGTCTATATCCAGCTAGCTGCGGCAAGTGCCAACACCATTCCAGCCCAGCATTCTGGGTGGCGATTGTTTGAGGCGTCACGGGAGGGCGTCACGTGTGATATCTCGTGTCTCCAGGCTTCGGAGAGCCGTGAAATGGATAATGGAGATGGTGACGATGATGACGATCGATGGTGATGATAATGATGATTCTGATGCTGATGCTGATGGTGGTGATGGTGATGATGACGATGGTGGTGGTGATGATGTTGGTGGTGATGAGGAAGATGAAGTGGATCAGGATCAGCATGATGATGAGTATATTAATGGTGATGATGCTGATGGTGATGGTGATGGTGATGATGGTAATGGTAATGGTGATGTTGATGGTGATGGTGGGGACGCTGATGGTGATGCTGATGAGGACGATACTGATGATGATGACGACGACGATGACGATGACGATGATGATGATGACGATGACGATGATGAAGATGATGATGATGATGATGATGATGATGACAATGATGATGATGATGATGATGATGATGATGATGATGATGATGGTGGTGATGCTGACGATGATGGTGGTGGTGATGATGATGGTGATGGTGATGAGGATGATGATGAGGAGAAAGAAGATGAGGCGGATCAGGATGAGGATGAGGATGAGGATAGTGATGGTGATGTTGATGATGATGTTGATGGTAATGGTGATGGTGATGATGGTGATGGTGATGGTGATGGTGATGGTTGTGGTGGTGGTGAGAGTGATGGTGAAGATGATGGTGATGATAGTGATGATGGCGGTGGTGATGACGATGATGGCCGATGATGCGGTTGATGGTGACGTTGATGCTGATGCGGATGATGAGGAGGAAGATGAAGCGGATCAGGATGAGGATGAGGATGAGGATGAGTATATTAATGGTGATGATGTTGATGGTGATGGTGATACTGGTAATGGTGATGGTGATGTTGTTGGTGATGGTGGGGACGCTGATGATGATGCTGATGATGATGCTGATGATGGTGACAACGATGACGATGATAATGATGATGATGACGATGACGATGCTGATGATAATGATGATGATGATGATGATGATGATGATCGTGGTGTTGATGGTAATGGTAATGGTGTTGATGGTGATGGTGATGGTTGTGGTGGTGGCGAGGGTGATGGTGAAGATGATGGTGATGATAGTGATGATGGTGGTGGTGATGACGAAGATGACCGATCATGTTGTTGATGGTGATGCTGATGCTGATGCGGATGATGAGGAGGAAGATGAAGCGGATCAGGATGAGGATGAGGAAGAGTATAGTAATGGTGATGATGTTGATGGTGATGGTGATGTTGATGTTGATGGTGATTGTGGGGACGCTGGTGATGATGCTGATGATGATGATGATGCTGATGATGGTGATGACGATGACGATGATGATGATGATGATGAGAATGCTAATGATAATGATGATGATGATGATGCTGATGATGATGTCGATGGTGATTGTGATGATGGTGATGGTGATGGTGGTGATGATGGGAATGTTGATGGTGATGATGGTGATGTTGATGACGATGATGCTGATGCTGAGGATGATGATGATAATGGTGGTGTTGATGGTGATGGTAATGGTGATGGTGATGATGGTGATGGTGATGTTGATGATGATGGTGGGGACGCTGATGATGATGCTGATGATGATGTTGCTGATGATGGTAATGTCGATTACGATGACGATGATGAGGATGAGGAGGATGCTGATGATGCTGATGATAATGATGATGGTGATGGTGATGATGGTTATGGTGATGGTGATGTTGATGGTGATGGTGATGGTGTGGGGACGCTGATGATGATGACGATGATGCTGATGACGCTGATGACGATGATGATGATGATGATGACGATGCTGATGCTGCTGCTGATTATGATGCTGATGATGATGCTGACGATGATGGTTGTGGTGGTGATGATGATGACTGTGGTGATGATGATGGTGGTGATGATGATAATATGCTGATGATGGTGATGATGATAATGATGATGATGATGGTGGTGATAATAGTGGTAGTGGTGATTTGATGGTGGTGGTGCTGGTGGTGATAATATGTTTGGTGACGATGGTGGCGATGATGAGAATGAGGAAAAACTGTTTGGGCCGTCTTGGGGCTGTCTTGACTTCCTGCGAGGCAGTCTTGCGGGGCCCTCGGGGCCCTCGGGGCCGTCTTGGGCCGTCTTGGGGCCCTCTTACGCCGGCTTGGGGTTCTCTGGGGCCGTCTTGTGGTCCTCCTGGCCGTATGGTGAGTCTCTGGGGTCCAGTCTTGGCGCCGTCTTGGCTCTTCGAAGGGCCTTTTAAGGCCATCTTGGGTCCCACGGGAGGCCCTCTGGGGCCGTCTTGAGGCGTCTTGGATGCCTCTTGCGCCATCGTGGAGTCCTCGTGGGCCGTCTTGAGCTGACGGCAGCCCGAAAAGGCGAGAATACGAAAACCATTCAAAAACATAAGTGAGAACAATGTTTTGGACCCTCTCGGAACTTGTTAAAGGTCCTCTTACGGCCCTTTCGGACCCTCTTGGAGGCATCTTGGGTCATCTTGGTGTCCTTGCTTGCTTGCACGGGCCGTCTTGGAAACTAGGGACGCATATCCATCGCTTTAGCGAGGGATCGTGGCTTGGGAAGCCCTGGAGCGCTTGGGAGCAGCGCCTGGGATTGCGGGACGCGTACGATACTCGAGCGGGTGCGCGTGGGACGAGGGGTTTCGGAGGTAGCAGCCATGTGGAAAGTGCGTAATCCTCGAGCGGGCGCGCATGGAATGAGGGCTCAGGCTTTAGCAGCCATGCGGGAAGTGCACAATCCTCGAGCGGGCACGCGTGGAAAGGGGGGTTCAGGCAGTGGCTGCCGTGCGGGAAGTGCACAGTCCTCGAGCGGGCGCGCACGGAAGGAGGGTGAGGCATTCACTGCCATGCGGGACGTGCATCATCCTCGAGCGGGCACGCGTGGAAGGGGGGGTTAGGCATTAGCTGCCATGCTGGAAGCGCACCATCCTCGAGCGGGCACAATAGAAATGGCCTCGGAAAGGAGGGGCGATGCATGCAGCAGTTTTGCGCGTAGAGGGAGGGGGGGTCCTCTGTTAATGTTCAAAAACCCTACCAGGCAGACCTTGACGTTCTTCCACGCCTCGACGTGCGTGCCAGGGGGGCACGGTGCCCGATTCTTTCAGCGTTTCCCCTAGATAGGGCGCGCGCGCGCGCGCACGCGACAGAGTAGGAGTCTGTGTTCCGAGGCACTGCTGTAGCCGTACCAGGGCCAACGAGCACCAAAAAGAGCGTGACTGCCAGCGCGGATCCCAAACAGCAGAGTATAGCACTCTCAATGGCCGCTATACGTGGAGCAAGTTGTGCGGCTCACCAGCCATGGAGCACCATCCGTGGGGCATCAGGGCAAAACAAAAAAAACGGAACAATCGAACGAGGTTCGGAACCATCAATGGCACCACACAGGGCAGCAGCCGTAGAGCACCACCTATAGAGCACCAGGGCAAGACCGCAAAACTCGCAGCAACACTCAAAGTCACCACAGGACCGCAGCTGCGGAGCACCACCCGTAGAGCACCAGGGCAAGGACGAGAAAGTCACACTTTGCAAAGGCATCATAGGGCACCGGCCGTACAGCACCACTAGCAGAGCATCAGGGCACGAACGCGGAAATCGCAACCATCATCTACAAGTCCTTGTCAGACGAAAGCGACCCCCTTAGTGCAAGCGGTGTTTGGGGAACACGTCCGAAAAGCTTCCGCGTTTGCGCTTGACGGAGTCCGGCTATCCCTCTTCTCGGAGAGCCCACCCGTTGATCCGTCGCTTCGGCGGCCCATCGATAAATCAAGCAAGCAACCGACCAAATAACCGAGCACAATCGATCGACCCATCGAGCATCGAGATAATCACACGGCCAGCCCAGCAGAGACGAGCACACCGAGACATCCGGCGTGCACTGCCGCCGAGGGCCCGGCGACGGAGGGCGAAGGGAGGGGCCCGGGGAGGGCCCGGGGAGGGTCAGACCAGGAAGTCTCGGGGGCGGCCAGGCGGGGGGGCGATGACCACCTCCTCCTCCTCCTCCTCCTCCATCTCCTCCTCCTCCTCCTCCTCCTCCTCCTCCTCCTCCTCCTCCTCCTCCTCCTCCTCCTCCTCCTCCTCCCCCCCTCCTCCCTCCTCCCTTCTCCCCAGGGGGGGAGGCTTTCATGGCAGGCGATCGCAAGCATGGATCAAGGGGGCGTGGATTAGCGACGGGCCCCGTTTCCATGGGAAATCGCGGGCTGCCGCCGAACGAGTGACGTGGGGGGGGTGAGGGCACCCGTGGCAAATCTCAGGCGACCGCAAACATGGATCAAGGGGGCGTGGATTAGCGACGGGCCCCGCTTCCATGGGAAATCGCGGGCTGCCGCCGCCGAACGAGGCGGCACAGGCCGCATTTTGGGGGAGGGCACCTCCCCCGATCCATGGATTTGGCGACCGCGCGCCAAATCCATGGATCGCTAATCCATTGCTGCGCGCCCCCATACCATGGCAGGGGCCATGACATCTCCCTGGATGTCATGGCCCCCGCTTCTTCTTTCACTGCGCCAACTGTCTCCCCCCCCCCTCGTCCGCGCACATGCCTCGGGCCGTGATCCCCCCCTTCCCTGGACGCCCCCCCCATCCCTGGACACCCCGAAGAGCTCGACGTCGGCCTGCAGGAGCGGGGGCGCGCCCGGCCCGCCCGTGGACAGCTCGCAGGGGTCGGCATACGGGCCATGCCTTGGTGGCATCCTGTCAGGACCACGCAGCCGCGCCCGCGGCTGCCACCCCAGCGCCAGCCAAGCCAGCGCCTGCCCCAGTGGCCACCGACAGCGTGAATGGCGGCGGCCCCGGGGAAGACCTCGCAAGGCGCCGAGCCCGCTCGTCCGTCCCCTCCTCGGCTTGCGCCTCCTGCTCCTGCTCCTCACTATCCTTTCCCCTGCCTCGCTCCGCATCCCTCCTCCCTCCCGCCCTCCTCTCCCGTCCCTCCCTACTCCGCCCTCCGCTGAACCTCCTATCTCGTCCGCCTCTTCCTCCTGCTCCTCGTCATCATCAGCATCACCATCACCGTTGTGCCTTTCTAGTCTGGAATCGCGTTCCTAGACTTAGACACGGGATGCTGCAGTGATACGGTCGCCAATCTCATCATCGATACAGCTCGCGGACCTTGAGCAGCGACGCATTCCCGCAGGCAGGGGCAACATAGGCGGGACGTCATCTGCAATTGATGGGGAATCGGGCAGACGGGGAAGTTCGAGCAGGAATTCGGGCAGAATTATGCATCATTCCCGACGTGCATTGGGGGAGTTGTGTCACGGCCCTGGAGCCATCAAAAACGGACCCAGGACTGAAAATTGTCCCCGGGACTTTCGGCCCCGCGGATTGGGAGGATCCCAGCAAAGCACCTTGCAAGGTCCCCAGAGGCCCTTCATAGAGAAGCTAACGGGAAGGTCCTGAGAGGTGCTTTGAGAGAGCCTCCTGAGATGTTCCCGAGGGGCTCCCGAGAGGCCCAGGAGGCACCCCATCCGGCAGGAAAACTTGTGATGGCAGCGGACTAGCAGCGCCACGGCGCCGCGCACGCAGCCGCCAGGACCCCATCGGGAGAGTGTCTGGATCTTGTTCTGAGGAGTGCGTGGAGGGGGGGGTAGCCCAAGGCTGGGGAGCGAAGCCAGCTTTCAGTCGGGCATGCCTCTCTGTAGGAGAAATGTTCAAAATAGTCAAGAAATTGTATGGGGACGATTTTTCTATTTTTTTTGATTATTGCATCGCTTCGCTCACTCCGCCGGCCCGTATTGTGCCATCGCAGGCGTTTGTTTGCGCGTTTTGCTTCTGTGGGCCCTCTTGGGAGGTCTCTTGGAGGCCCCTGGGGGCGTCTTGCAGGCGCTTTGGGCTGTCTGGAGGCCATCTTTGGCATCTTGGATCGCTGTTGGGCCGTCTCAGGCCATGTTGAGCTCTCTTGGAGGCCAGTGGAAGCGCTCCTGAAACGCTCTTGGGAGCCTGCTGGGACCTGCCCGGACCTGCCCAGGACCTGGCCGGGACCTTGCCGGAACTTGCCTTGACCCTGACGGGACCTTGCTGAGGTACTTTTCGTCCGGGGGGCCCCCGGGGCGGCCCCGCGCGCGCGAGCTAGAAATATTGTTAACCAGTTACCGGAGATCTTAGCACGCCCTTGGCCCGTTGGGCCGGCGAATTTTTGGATACCTTTGATCATATTTTGATTTTTCGTTTTCGTTTAAAATCCGCCTGTAGGGGAACACGCTCGACCTAAAGCCAGCTTGAAGCTGACATACTCTAAAGCGAGCTGGGACAAGGGCGAGAGATAGCGAGCGTTTGTCCGCGGCCGTTTGTGTTCAAGCGGCCGGCCGCCAACATATGATTGCGCCTCATTGCGAGACATTCTATTCGCCATCGAGACCGAAAATTTCTTCGCTTGAGATGGCCCGTCGCTCCCGCGACGACCTCCTACGACTGGGACTATCGCTACTACGATACAACAGAGCAGGAGCTGTGCTTCGCCTAAGGCGTAGCTTCTGGACGGGCCTACTGGCCCCCTTCAAACTGACATGTCCATCTTCCAGCGGCCGTTTACAGCGACATGTTCCTATCACCCTTGCCGCTGCCCTGCCGCACTTTTACGCCCCCCCTGGTGTGTTTACCTCGTAGCAGCAAGCGAGACGCTGTCAGGGAAAAAAACAATACGTCAAAAGTTTGGGTGGGAGCGAGGCCTGGTGGTCAGAACTCTGGGCAGCCAAAAAAGGTTTCAGCACAAAGGACGCCTCAGCACACACTTTGTGCGTCGGCGGCTGGACAGAGGGTGGCTGCTCCAGCAGAATGGCAACAGGGGGCACGCTGCATGCAAATTACGGCCGCCATGCACAGGAGGAGGAGGAGCCCCAGCGCGACAGGGGGAGAGGAAGCCGGGCCACTCAGAGCAGCCGACTGCAGCGGAGGGAGCGCCGAGGTGGGAGACCAGCGCCGGCATTGAGCTGCACGGGGAGGCAGCACTGTGATGCAACTGGTGAAGGACAAGTACAACCAAGCGAACCCCGACGTGGCCCAAGGCACGGACCAAGGATGAGCCGAGCGTCAAGACCAACGGGCCAAAGAGGCGCGTGCAGGGGAGCGCTGGGGGTGGGGAAGCCAGCGCGCTGAGCTGCACTGAGCTGAGCTGGGCAGCGCAGATGCAAAGCAGAAACTGGGCAACGCGCGGCCCAGCTGACCGAGCGGCAAAAGAGAGGCAACGGGAGCGCCAGCACGGCCCGGCGAACCGCCAAGTGCGGCTCAGAAGGCAGCTGACGCACCGAGACCGAGGGGCCTCGAGGCATGAATTGAGCTGAGCAGGGCAAAAGGGGGCCAAAGGGCAACCTCGGAAGCGAGCGCGGCGCTGCGGGCACGAAGGGGGAGCCCGGAGCGGCACAATGTCGCCACGGGGCGGGCCTGGCGGCGAGCAGCCCGGAGCCAGGCGGAACAGGACACCGGAGAGCGCAGCAGCCGAGCCCTGGCCCCGAGAGAAGCGAAGCGCCGAGACCTGCAGGCCTGCGAGGCGCAACCGCGGGGGAAGGGCCAGGGCGGCACCGCCGGAGAACGGACCGAGGCGACCGGGACGGGGCGGCGGACGAGCCTAAAAAGCGGGCGGCCAGAACTTCGACCCGCGCCGACGGTGGGAACCCTGACGTCGGCTTCGGAGAGGAGCGCCGAGACCAGGCGAGGAGGGGCTGCCCAGGGGCGCAGCAGCACCGAGGGCACGCGCAGGGGCCCCGCCAAGAGAGAGCGCCGAGGACGGATGCCAACTGGCGGCGGGCAGGCGGGCCACGGCCAATGAAGGGCGGCAAGCCAACGCGAGCGGATGAACCCAGGTGCGGAGCTACCTGAGTACCCGCACGCGGCGACATGACAAGGCAGCGACCACGGCCAGACACCGGGACATGAAACACCTCTGGCCCGATGGGCCTGTCAAATGCCCGTGCTGTCGATTCTGTTGCTATCACTATCGATGTCAACATTGCAATGCCCTCAGCATCGTTTAATTCGCTGCTGCCGCCTTGGCCGCGTTTTCTCCCCATCGTTTGCTGATGGCCTGGCAGGCCACAGCAATGGTGTGCAGCCAGTTTTGTCCCAAGAATCGCCTGCCAATCGGGCAGGATATGGGAGGTACTACTAGTAACTACTGGCTACTATTCTCAATACTACTACTACTACTACTACTACTACTACTACTACTACTACTACTACTACTACTACTACTACTACTACTACTACTACTACTACTACTACTACTACTACTACTACTACTACTACTACTACTACTACTACTACTACTACTACTACTACTACTACTACTACTACTACTACTACTACTACTACTACTACTACTACTACTACTACTACTACTACTACTACTACTACTACTACTACTACTACTACTACTACTACTACTACTACTACTACTACTACTACTACTACTACTACTACTACTACTACTACTACTACTACTACTACTACTACTACTTCTACTACTACTACTACTACTACTACTACTACTGCTACTACTACTATTACTACTACTACTACTACTACTACTACTACTACTACTACTACTACTACTACTACTATTAGTACTACTATTACTACTTATAATACGACTACTACTAGTAGTTCTACTACTACTACTACTACTACTACTACTACCACTACTACAACCACTACTACTACTAC